GCCGTCTGGTTAGCAGGCAAGTGTCTTAGCCACTATGCTACCAGAGCTCCCACTACACCACCAGAAATAGAATCAATGGGTAAAAACTGCAGGTGGACACATTTCAGTTCAGTATAAGAAAATATGTTGATGATGACAACAAGAACTGCCACCAGCCAGACTATTTCAAGGTGGACAGACAATCTTGAGTAATAGCAGGTTTCCCATTACCAAAATGCATATCAAACCCATTGCCATTGAGGCAATTCTGATTCTTAGAAATCCCACAGAACAGAGTATTCTACTCCATAGGGTATTCTGCTCCATAGGGTTTCCAAGGCCTAAGGAAGCAGACTGCCACGTCTTTTTCTCATGGAATGAAGGGTTTTGGACTACTGACATTTTGGTTAGCAAAAGATTGTGGCACTTATCTCAGTAGTTGAGCCTTTCTTTATTTTTCTAATATTGCCTTTGCATTATTAAGAGGGAGATGCTAGAAATACTCCAGTCATATTTAAAATGAAACTGTTACAAGAGTCATACTAAACTTTCACAAAATGAATACTTTATCATGAATCTCTTGGGTAAGTGTACACTTAACCATTCCATAAGTAGCTTGTCATGCACAATTAATTATAGTGTGATATACAACCAAAAAAACCAAACACACTGCAGTCGAGTCAGATCCGACTCATAGCGACCCCTCCTTGGGTTACCGAAGCACTATCACTAGGGAAGTAGATTGCCCCACCTTCCTTCCAAGGAGTGTCTGGTAGGTTTGAACCACAGTCTTCTGGTTAGCAGTCAAATGCCTTAGGCACTACACCAACCAAGCTCCCATAGAGTGATATAGTGATATGTGTAATTACCAGGGATTCAAACTAGTTCATTCCAATTCAACCCCCTGCTGAGAATTTGCATTTCCACCCCAGATATACCAAATCAGAATATACATTTTAACAAGATCCGCAAGTGATGGAATAAAACTCACTCCCAGGAGCTGGCTCTCAGCCCAATAGTTAACAAGATGTACATGTAGACCACTCAACCCAGGATGACGCACCCACATACTCTATGGTAATACATTCCTTAGAGCAATAGACCATGGGGAACCAGAGGGGCAACATTCACACTGAGGAAATGCAGGACAAACAGGAGTGCATAACTATGAG